CAGCCTGAGTCTTGGTGACTGCATAGATACATTCACACATTCACATAGTTTTCTTGGGAAGGCTTTTCTATTTGCCCCCTCTGACATTTTTTTTTTCAGTTTCCTAATCTAGTCAAAATCTTTGGGACTTCTTCATGGTGTCCCAACTAAGGACTAACCAAGTTAGCTTCTCAAGATCAGTGAGGGACATCACTTGTTGAAGGCAGATCTGAAGAACTTTGAAGGTATAGCTCAGAAACGCTACTGTCCACAGATATGAAAATGTACAATGCTTTAATCTAAAAGGGGGTAGTTGGCAGTAGTTTGGGAACCCAGCTGGTGCTTTCACATGTTAGGTCAACCAGACCGTTATGTTAAGTCATAAAATGATCGATCTGTGTCATCACCCTGGGTTTACCCTGTTGTGCAAGGCTATATGCTTAAATACACCCAGTTTCAGTCTCCTGAGGGACAGAAGATAACCAACGTGAGTGGTGGTCAGACACTGGGTTGACCAGGCCTGGTTGAAAAACCTAGAGTCTGGCTTTATTTTCCTTGGGCTCAGCACATTGCACTAATCCAGATAACATGGCTTGTAAACCATCATTTGTGGCTAAAAGCCCAGATCCCCAGTCCTAGCAAGTTAATAAAGTAGGCAAAGAAAATGGCTACTACAGCTGGTGAGGGAGCCACAGTTCATGTGTACAATCACAAAATGCCTGTTTCTCAGATAGCAAATCACAGCTTGTTTCTTCCGGCCTCCTATCCAAGAGAGGTGGGTGTCTATGAGCAAAGTGCTTGGCTGCAGCCACTGACTGCTTGCTTTTCTGGGAAGGTCCGAGGGACCTCTGTGGAATTTTAGGACATTTCTGCAGCCCAGGCAGGCCAGCTAGCCTTTTAATTGTGTTCAGACTTAAATTAATCCCCTGACCCCTTGGCGTTTGCATGGCCACCATGCTGGAAATCCCAGGCTTGAAAGATTGGGAGTGCCTGGTCCAGTTGTAAGCTGCCCCAGATCCATTGGAGAATGGGTGACCTCTAAACGCACAAAATATGGACAACTGAACCAAACAGACCAGCACTGAATCTGACCTGGGTTTCCAGCTCCAGTTCAGGACCCTGGATGGAGCAAAGCAAACTGCCTTTTGCTAAACGGAAATGCTGGAAGGGTGGTCGTAGATCTGCGTGCAAAAGATCTTGGCTACAACAGGGTGGCCGAGTCAGAAGAGGAAGCTGGAGGATTAATGTTGGGGGGGGAGACACACTCAAATTCTTCAGGCTCACTCAGGCACGGGTGACACGGCACTGGGGAAAAATTCTCTTGATCTGAAAGAGGCTTCCTGTCCAGCGAATGAGAACCTACTTGGCATCTCCTGCTGAAGCATAAAGCCTATATTAAGGGCACTGTAGATCGGTGTGCGTGGGTGGGTTTTAGATCTCAGAGCTTAGCAGCGGGTGAACAGTTGGACACACACTCCGCAGTTTTGCCATTGCCCCCGGGTGCCAGAGGTGTGAGTAATCAGCACATGTCCAACAATGATTTCCAGTTTTCACTGGAACATAAGACAATGAACAGCAGCTGCTGAAATGCTGTTTCCTGTCCTGCCGTGGATTATTGGATCGTGATCTGTGATGGGCTGAAGGGGACTAGAACCTGGGTCTCCCCACTCCTTAACCAATACCTGGCCATATCCCTGATAGATCTGCAGGACCATGATGGAAGCTGATCTAGATGCCTTTTCAGTCCGTTCCCGCAACTTCCTTCTTACCTTTGTCTCCATTTGTAGGTCAGTCCATGAATTTCAAAATGAAGAATACCCCACACCTTTGCCATGCTCGCACATTGCACCGAGCCATACTTTGCCTAAGCATGGTTTGATTCAAAGCCTGGTTCCCAACGAGCTAACCCACTGTTTTTCCAGCTTGGCAACTTTAAGATGCGAGGACTTCAACTCCCAGAATTCCCCAGCCAGCATAGCCTCACATCTTAAAGTTGCCAAGTTGGAAAAACAGTGGGCGGAACTATAGTTTACAGACCTGCAATGGCTGGAGCGCAGAATTTGCTAAGCCAGATCAATCCTGATGCAATGGTGGACAGGTCAGCCCCTTCTTTCTGGGGACAGAGATAGCCGGAGTGTCCCTGCTGGCTTCGTAACCCGAAGCCCATCGGAACAATTTCCCCCCACTATGACTTCCATGGGAGGAAATGCATGGTAAATGGAAAGGGGGACTAAATGCTTATGTTGCTAGTGATGTCTGTCAATCTTGACACCTTTCCTTAATTAATAAAGAGAGCTGAGGATTCAGAGACGGGCTTATAGAAAACAGGGTGAAGTATGGAATGAAGATGCATTTGGTAGTATTTTAAGAGACAGCGATAGATTGTTAATGTTGTATATACTTGCTGGGGATGAAGGGAGAAGTTTTCTTTCTTCTTTTGGTAGAGGGATTTTTTCCCCTTTTCCTTTGCACTGTCTTACACTATTTTTTTAACGTATTGTTGTATTTGGTTTTTGCATTAGTTTTATCTGTTGCATGTAATCTGCAATGAAATTATTTAAATAGCAGGAAACGCATGGTTGTCGTTCATAGAGACGGAGGCGTTTCCATCAATAACTTTTTGTTGTTGTTGCTATTGCAGACTATACAGATGGCTGAAACATCTAGCTGTGGCACATCAGAGTGCTGCCCCCTTGTGGGCCAGCTGTGCAACACCTGGTTTTCTGTCCTCGCATCAGGTTCGTTATCTGCTATCTGCTAGGCAGTCGTTCAAATTAACTTTCTCTACACTGGTGACCTCCAGACAGACGAGCCGTCGACTCCCATAAAATCCCGCAAGCAGAGACCGTGTTACCTATGAATTTTGGGAGCTGACTTTTTTTGGTAGCCAATCATAACAAGAAGTTAACTCAATCAATCATCTGGGGAGCACCCGGGGAAGGCTGATTCCAGCTGAGAGTGTTTTAAATGTCCTATTTAATTCAGAGGAGCAAGTCTTTTCAAGTTCTCCCAATCCTCCTGGCATCTGCTAACTGCTTTTCATGTCTTTTTTTCTTCCTTCCCTCCTTCCTTCTTAAAGGAAAAGCGGCTGGGGGGGAGATTGAATTGCTGCACTATGATGTGGTCCACATGGGAGTCTAAAAGCCTGGGTTTTCAACCTTTGAGGATCAGGGGGCATATCTGGTAGCATTTTGAGGACACATTGTGGGCATTCACCCCAAACAGTTGCAACGCTGGGGGTGTGGTTCCAAGTCCCTGAGCCAATTGAGCCTGCTTCCCACAACTTCACTAGCCTTCAGGATGCTCATGAGGGGCTGTCAGCTTGCTTTTGTCTCTTTTCTGGGCAGGGGGGCATATTTACAAAAGACTGCACCGTCTTAACTGATCAATAAGAGAAAAGGAACGAGCAGCCCATCGTCTGGCTGGTGTAATTGAAATCTGGAAACAGAGTAGCTTCAGTTGCTCAGTGCAACCGTTTACACAAGGAAAGAATTCAGAGGAGGTGAGACTGGAAATTTCGAATTCCTTTTTTCTCTTAGAGCATCTCAGAAGAGGGAAGGAGCAAATCAACAAGCAGGAAAGAAAAGTAGAAGCAGAGACCAGGGGAAAAAAAACACTTGGTGGTCTCTCATCCAAGTCCTAAGCTAGCAGGAGCCTCCTTAGCTTCTGAGTTCAGTCAAAGTTGACCAAGAATTAAGGGACTCAAGGAAAACAGCAGCCCTTCTCTACTCTGGATCTTTACAAATGTGGACTACACCACCCATAATTCCCAGGCAGACTGGCTTTGTTGGCTGAGGACAATGGGACTTGAATTCTAAGACATCTGGAGGGGACTGAATTGTGAGCAGCGAGACTAAAAGACGGAGCCGCAGAGGAATAGGTGAAAAGCACAATTTGTGATATGTTCCTTCCTGCCACTCAGTGCTAAACAACACTCATGGAAGGTCCACCACAAGATGACTGTTGGCAATTTGGTATTTGGAGTTTCAGGCATTGTATGTAAATGTTCTCAGACCTTTCAAGGTGGCTTGTATTACAAATGGACAAAACTGAATCCTTTCATCTGCTGCAGAAGGCAGCAGTAAAACCGGAGAAATTAAAATTATTGTTAAGGATAAAAGCCCCAGACTGGAGGGATTGTTAGCTGTGATTTTTTTAAAAAACCACCATTAATTATTTATTTTACCATAAAGTCTTTCCTTTGCATTATAGTCCCCTCGTGTGCCTTTTTCAGACCCTGTCTTTGTATTATTATAACTTGTTCAATGAAAGGTTCCTCCTCCAAACAGACTATAAATCTAAATGAATACCTAGGACACAAATGGAGCAAATCTTCAGTTTAATGGACTAATGGGAGGGAACGGGTGTCCATTAAAGCAGAATGTCCACTGAATCCAAGTAGGATTTCATGTGTGTGTTTTTTACAAGCAGCAGATGGGATTTTACCCACAGGCAAACACTTATTGAGTAAGAACAGATTTTGTCGGTCGCATATGTGTTAAATGATACGTCTGATGTCTGTTAAATTGAGTATTTACTGTACAGGAGAATAAGAAGGGCAAAGAATATGGAAGGGACAGTGATTTATTTCCAAGCTGGGTACCAGCCCCAACTTAACACTTTAACAAACTTTTCTCTTCTTCTTTTTCCCAGGAGCTAGAATTAGTGGTTCTTTCCAGATGTGTTGGATTACCATTCCCATCATTTAAGGGACAATTCGAACTGTTGTCCAACGTAACCTGGAGGCGGGGGTTAGAGAAGGGAGTTCTAGAATTGCAGGAAACACTCATTCACTTGGGGGAATGGAGGACACTGGAAATTTAACAACTGTAGGAGGGGAAGCCTAAATCAGAAGGAAAAAAAATAGCCATATAATACATGGCAAATATGGCAGTCAAACCAGATCATCTCTCTCCTCTCCTTAGGGTAGTGTTTCTCAACCTTGGCAACTTTAAGATATGTGGACTTCAAATCCCAGAATTCCCCAGCCAGCCATGCTGACTGGGGAATTCTGGGAGTTGAAGTCCATATATCTTAAAGTTGCTAAGGTTGAGAAACACTGGCTTAGGGTCATCACCCAGAACCAACTGCCATGGGAGTCACTCTGCAAAATCTCCATCCTATTCAGACAAACTGGTCTTGTAACCCCCTGGGGATATCCTGGCTTCATAGCCACGAAACATTTTAATCAACCAACTGGCTACTGGGTTTCTCACATTCAAGCAACAACCACATGTTTCATCCCTTATGCCTCCAAGGGACTCGATTTGTATTTCCTCCCTTGTCAACCAACTATCATTTCTTTCCCAACCAGCCAAATATCCAACATTGCTCCTTTCAAATCAACCCATCCATTCTTCCTCTAGCAGTCATCTGCCCTTGGTGACATTGATCCCATTCTCAGCATAACAGAGGAACAAGATCCAGGAGAGAAAAACCCAACTCCTTTTCCAGCTAATGCGATGTTCTGATGGAATGGGAAGAGTTCTGAGCTGACCCAGATCTGATGGCAGCACTGTTACTCCAATTAAACAGGCAAATAAACTCTTACATGCAGAAAACTAGCTTGGCAGGAAAAAGGGACAGCTATAGCTCCACCCTGTCTGTAGCTCTACGCAACTCTGAACATACTGTCTTGCCAAGCAACTTAGGAATCCTGCAGGGCAGGGCAGAAACTCTTCCTCCATGTGATCCTTGACATGTCCAGAAGGAGGTCAAGAAAAGTTCCAATAGAAGAGAACATATGTAGCTCAGGGTTGAATTGTAGAGATGATGATGTTACCTAGTTGGGTAATGAAACATCTACAAGCAAACCACCAAGCTCAGAGAGCAGCAAGGACTCCACAGTCAAGTCCTGCCTGAACTCTTGGAGATCCACCACCAATCGATGTAGACAATACCAAAGCTGAAGGACTAACGATCTGCCCCCTTCTCATGAGCCTAAACCTCTTCAGGAGAACAGTCAAAAGCGGCGACGCTCAGACACAGATTTAACTAGCCTAACAATTGTGTAGTATACCTTTCCTCAACTTTCCATTCTGCTTGGGCAACTCAGCAACTGCCCACGCTGACCTAGAGTGATGAGAGTTGTAATCCAATGCATCTGGAAGGCACCAGATTAGGCTAGATTAATATAATAAACTGGAAAACCAGTTTATTCCAAGACACACTTGGATTCCAAATCAGCAAATACCAGTTCTGCTGTAAGCATATGCTGATGTTTCCATGAACACAACTGCAGAACTGCTGTACTTCATCCCAATCAGCTGTTCTCCATGTCCTCCCTTTGGTGAAGTAGCCAAATAAAGCTTGTCATCAAGTCCCTTGATCTTCCACTCCATTAGCCAACAACTCGTTAATATTCTTCTATTACCATGGAAACCAATCATGTAAGATAACATGGCCAGTTCTTTATCCTCCTCTTTCAACAACCAAAGGTTTACTAACGTCTCCGCTATTTTAGTTACCTGGATACCAAGGCAACGTTCCTTTCTTAGCAACCAGCTGCCTAAAACAACCTATTCTGTAATCTTGGCCCTAGGATGCAAACATACATTCAACTGATATGTCAACAACATTCTTCTTTTTCAATGTTGCTTCAGAAACCAAATTATCGCCCCACAGATTACCTTAGCAATCAGCCCATCTCTCCCCCTGGCAATTAATTATCCCAGCCCAACCGAGGGACTCAACTTAGTAACTCAGGCAATTGACCTTTTGCTTTGGCATACTATTCTGTTGTGCCGTTCTGATGCTCCCCAAAATTGAATTATTTTTGTTGAGCAAAAGAGCCACCCTCTCCAGTTACCTAGCCCACATCATTCCCAACTCTGAAATATTCTCAGCCAAGGGTTTCCCCCACTCTCCATCAACCTTTTTGACGTGGTCCATCAGCTCTTACAAAATTAGGAGTTATGTTGTAACCATGGTAATTCTTCCTCCTTTGGATCACCTTAGCAACCCTAGCAACCAAGGCGATGATGTCCACCTATCAGTCCAATCCCGTGGTCTTGACTACTGGCCAACTCCTTCCGGCAGGCACAGCCCCACTATGATCCTCTGCCACTTGGCCACCCTTCTGCTTGTTATTCTACCCCCCATTGCCACCCCATAATCCTCATGGAACGTGGATCAATCCGTGGAGGCGGTGGCAGGGACAGCACGGACGATGCGAGGGAAGGCCCAGATGAAGTTGATGCCCTCTGAGGAGAGAGAATTTGTTCTGCGTCCCCATCGCTCGACAGGCAGGCAAATGCTGTCCAAATGCCTCGGGGGCGCGGCTTGTCACCAGGGACGGGCGCTGGGTCCCCGTGTACCCGCTGGTGACGAATGAGAGTTGAAGATCGGCCAAAGCTCTTGCCACAGCGGGCGCAGCGGTAAGGCCGAGCCCCCGTGTGGGCTCGCTGGTGCACCGTGAGGTAGGAACTGTCCCCATAACGCTTGCCACAAACATTGCACTTAAAAGGTTTCTCCCCGGAATGGATGATCTGGTGGCGGATGAGATGGGAGCTCTCCGAGAAGGATTTGTCACACTGGGTGCACCTGTACAACTTGACCCCAGTGTGCGTGCGCTCATGGCGCACCAAGTCTGACCTCTGAGAGAAACTCTTGGTGCAGGATCGGCACCCAAACGGTCTCTCCCCAGTGTGTACCCGCTGGTGCCGGATCAGGTGGGAACTCAGAGTAAACCGCTTCCCACAATCGGGGCAGTCAAAGAACCTCGGGGAGATGGTACTCGCACGACGGTAGCTGAGCTGACAATGTTGGTTACCCAAGGAACATCTCCCCCTGGTGCGCTTTTCCCCTTGGGGCCTGGCATTCCTGTTCCCATCCTGGTCACTCCTGCTGTGTAGAGCCTCACATGCCTCTTCCCAGTCCAGAATCTGTGGAGTGATCTCCAGTGGATCCTCGGGGTCATGGCCTTCAGGGACACTAGGAGATTCTTCTTCTTCTTCTTCTTCTTCTTCCTCCTCCTCCTCCTCCTCCTCCTCTTCCTCTTCTTCCCAGTCTTCATTCTCACTGGTCCTTCCATCCTCTAGCAAGACCCAAAAAGATGATAAAGAAATGAATATGAATGTATATTTTTTATGAAAAGTTTATGTTTTAAAACCCATTTTACGTTACTGCTGGCAGTAGAATGTAGATATTATTTAATTATTTATTCCGACAGAAGAGAAAAGCAAACCTCACTCCTTTCTAGCACTGCAGATGTTACCTAGACAGGTAACGAAACATCTGCAAGAAAACAACTAAGCTCAGAGAACCCCAAGGACTCCACATTTATTCATTCATTATTCATTCATTCATTCATTCATTCATTCATTCATTCATTCATTCATTCAATTTACACAGCCACCTGTCTCACTTTTATGCAACTCTAGGCAGCTTACAATAAAATACATAAAATACACAATATAAAAAATAAAAATAAAAATAAAACACACAGCAGCCGGGCATTATCCAACCGATTATCCGCATAGCCAGGAGGCAGCCCCTATCCCACACCCAGGGCCTCAGGGTCAGGCACAAAAGCAAGTTTTCAGGGCCTTACAAGAGGCCAACAGGGATGTGGCCAATCTAATTTCAGGGGTGATGATGTTCCAAAGGATGGGTGCCATGGCAACAAAGGCTCTCCTTCTGGGTCCTGCCAGCCAACACTCCTTAGCCCAGTGTTCCTCAACCTTGACCACTTGAAGTTGTGTGGACTTCAACTCCCAGAATTCCCCAGCCAGCAT